CCTCACTTAAACTTCATCTGGCTGATGCGCTTCATGTGCTGGACCGCACTCGTTTTTCCCTTGTTTCTTACAATGTAATATAACTTCGTATGATTGTATAATTTCATTTTATCATTATCAATCAAAATTACGGTAAGTGTATTTCAAAGGGCATCTTATGGTTCCATGGAAGAATGAGTTGTCAACCCTAAGAAATTAATGATTAAAATTAAGAAAAAGGTTTACCAACTTTTGTTCAAGTTGGCCAGCCAAAGGAAGTGGGGCTTTGCTTTTGGTTGAAAATGTTCAAAAAAAGTAGCAAAATCTTGAATTAATACAGCCCGGCTGACTAGACACTTGTCGACCACTGGTTTGACTTCTATTTTGTAGATTTAATATTTAAATTAATCAAAATATTTATTATTTTCTAGTCACATTTTAAAATAGTAAATAAAAATTGTATGTTCGAAAATTAATAACGAATTAAAAAACCAAATTGGACAATTAATCCATAATCTAACAACGAGAAAAAAATATTATTTAGCCCTTATTGGAATAAATTAGTAAACTAAAAATGAAAAATATTTATTATTTACTAGTCACATTGAACCAACACGAGGATTCTGAGTTTAGCTTATTCTGTATATAAATACTAGTACGTGACCCACGCGTTGCGCAGCTTGATATTAAAAATAATTTGGGTGAATTATAATTTGATATACATAAAACATGTATAGAGTTAATAAAAAGTAAGATAAATATTTTATTTAATACATTCAAGATATTCTCATGAATATAATCTTAGTAATCGATGAATTGTATTCATTATGACCATTATCATAAATAATAACCATCAAACAATTAGAATCGGTGACTCCGGGAAACAACATATAATTGATTGTGAGTACAAAATACCATATTTTTTTTAAAAAAAATATATAATTAAATTAAAATTATAATTTATGATATTCAACGAAAAATATTTTTCACATTAATTACACTCCTTGAAACTTCATCATTCTCGCATAATAAAAGACATTATTACTATTATATAGGTAAACTGATATGAAATAATTGAAATAAACATGTAGAAATATGATCCAATTAAAAAATATAATTTGAATAAGTAAAATAAAAAAAAAAACAAAAATGACTCAATTTGAACTTCATGTTTCAAATTAGGTCCACATATTTTTCTATCTTTTTTTTTTTAAATTATCTAAATAAATTTTAATAATTTTGTTCAGACTGACATGCAAGATGGATCACCTTTTACAAACTTACAAATAGGCACAGTAATCGTTAATATTCATGTCAATAACAAAATTATTTATTTTTTGCGCGCAAGTAATGTGAAATAAAATTTAATATAGTTTTTGGAAGTGAATTCATAAGATAAAAAAGAATACATACAAAATACACTATATATATTATAAAAAAGTATATTATTTTTATAAAACTAATATTTATGATATATGATAAGAAAAAAGTAGTTGATGTATTATAGTAAGCCTTATTGAATTTTATTGCAACAAATTAGTAGCGATATTATATTAGCATCATTCTCTTAACAAAACATGTGTTGTAGTAACAAAAAATTAACAATAATTAATACATTATGCCATATTTTTTAATAAAAAATTATAGTTACATAATTATGAATAAATAAATAAATTAAAATGAGGGCAATCACTTTAAACACAACCATTTAAATGACCTCAGATGTCGGTCTCAATAAAAAATGATATCGATTAAAAATAAATAAATTAAAACAACTATTCATTTTAAACTCAACCAATTCAATCAAATGAACTAAAACCCATATAAAATGTCTCATATATAACAAAAAATCAACTAAATAATTGGATGATAAATATACATTGTCGCATTCATTCTTTCGAGTCAAAACTATATCGTCACTATTTCTTTCTCATCTCTTATGGTTGAGACTTGAGACTCTCTCTCTCTTTTTATATCATTTCATTTTTTTTCAATATAACTCCACAATATTAGTCTATTTCTTACTCATAAATGAAACCAAATTCCGATGTCATGTTCAAAACTAAATCATCTAATTTTATTCTGTATACAAATTGTATCAATTTATGTCCATCTAGAAGTTGAAAAATAAAAGTACAAATGTCTATATATAATAAATTATATAATTTCAAGATGTTTTTATTTTTCTGTATATTTTCAGGTCATAATAAGGTAACGATCAAGATGATAAATGTCAATGGATTGATCAATAGCCAACACTTATTTTGCATTGAATTTATGATAATCATAATTTAACTTACTTTGTTAGAAATACATATTGAGAGAGTTTTTGTTAAACAATAATAATAAAATATTTAAATGTAATATATAACTGTAAAATGATAAAAAGTAAAACTAACACATATGATAAATGATTAAAAAAAATAAAATGTATGAACATGTTGAGATGGCCTATTCAATAAATTGACAAAAAAAAAATTATACTAACTAAAAATAAATAAAGTAAACAAACTTTATATTTTCGGGCCAATGAACACCTTCAATCAAACCAAATTCAGTATAAGTTTTTCTTTAGTCTTCATAGTTAATGACATGAGTTATACCTCTTTGAAATAATGTCACCATCCCCATTTGTATGTTATCATTTTTCTTTTTTTTAATATCAGTTCTGAAATTTCATCTATTTTTAATTCATAAATAAAATCAAGTTTAGATATCATGTTCGAATTCTAAGTTTGCTTATATCTTTTTTTTTTCTTTTGTTTCATTTGTTCATATTCATGGTTGATATTTGTAAAAGAACCAAAATTAATAATTTTTTTTTACCATATAAAGGTTATTTTGTGTTTTAGATATATATTATTTTATATGGACATGCAAGTTCGTCCTTAATGCCTGTAAATGGTGCTTTTTATTTTATTTTATTTTAAAAATTTTATTCTTTTTAGAATAAATTACTTTATTTATAACAGATATAACTTCATTCTTTCTCTCTCTTTCTTTTTTTATTATTTTCAAAATAATTTATTAGAAAATAAAATAAAAATAAACAAATATGAAATTTAGTTGTGTAAGTTTGCAATTTTTTACTAACCATGTGAATGAATTTTGTATTAAATTTTAGATATTTAGAAAATATCACCAATAATTAGCATGTTATTCTATTAAGTAGTAAACTATTGGAGCCCTTTTATTATAATTAAAATAGATAACCACCTTAAAGTATATTTTGTGTATATTATTTTCACTCTATTTATGATTATAAAAAATAACATAATATATTTTAATTATTATACATATACTATCTATAATGATAATTCTATTTTTTTAATTAAGTTTTTGTACACATAATAATTTTGTGTTGTTTGAATTTTTCACGTGCAAGTCCCAATGCACAATTAAATATAAACTTAATTATTTTCTTGAACAAGCAATTATACTATTTTTGTAATGATATATCATACTTAGAAATTGTCAAAATTTATATCTAAATGATAAATGTAGTTTTGGAGGATTTTTTTCCCAAGCTACTTAACTAAGTGTACATTAAACATGATAGACAAAAATTAGCAGCTATGCACGGTTTCCTAACATACATGAAACAAATGTATTCATTATTCTTAAATTTAATACTAAGTGGAAATTTAATGCAAAATTTAAGAAGAGATTAGTTATCAAATAATGTGTAAACATTTAAT